TTAGACTGTGAGACAGTTTGTTATAGGTTAGAAGGCGTTTGCAACTGCTAAGGTGGAGGTGTTGAAGGGTTAGCTATAGGAGGTGTAGGCGTCTATAAATATATGTTAAGCTTTTTGATAATATAGTCTAGGTCTTATGGTGAAATTCTAGCGCTTTAGAAAGTAGACCTGATGTTTTCCTTATTAAAAACCTTATTATGGGCTTAGTAGAAGGTAATAAAGAATTTAGACTTAGTGATATGATTTATAGAGGCTCTAATAAATTAGTTAATTTTATCACTATATATGCGTTTTAAAGGCGAATAAAGGGTAATATCTAATAGCTATAGTAGATATAATGAATATATAGGTATATTAATAGTTATAATATTGCTCTACTTATAGTAATTATTAAATTTAGCTAATAAATAGCTTTTATAGCTATTAATAATAAGTATTTAGTAGACACCTTTTATTTAGTTCTTAATATATTTGTTAAAATGTTTAATTTAGTTAAGACCTATCTAATTATCTGTCTATCTATTAGTAGTAGGTTTAATCACTTAGTTGCTTAGAAAACCTGATTCTGTGGTCTAACTGGTAAGGTGGTATATGCTCTTAATAATTATGAATAGAGGGATGTACTACCTGCCTAAATTAATATATTTAATGATTATAGCTTATTTATAGTTATTAGGCTGGACAGACTTTGCTTTGCTATATTAATTAGTATATATAACTATTATTAACATAGTGATTATACCAATTATAAAGCTAGTTTTATTAACATTATATAGGTCCCCCTCTTAGATACTATACTTAGCTATTATATTACATAATAGTGTAAACTACTTTAATATACCCTTAAGATCTTCTTAAAAAGCTTTTTAATAATTATGTAGATAATTAAACTTGGCTTTAGAGCAGGCTGTGAGTTTATAAACTGCCTAGCTTATTACTTGCTAATAGGCTTGCTATTATAGGCTTGCAGCAGGAGATTAACTATATCTTTTATACTGCTGAGGTGGAAAGGAAATCCTCTGGAATCCTATTTAATAACGTATTGGAGAAGTGTTTTCTCTTCGATCGGATTGAGTTTATATCGTTAGGGTTAAGCTTGTTTGCGTTGCGGTTAGTTGTTCATTCTATCAGCTAAGGTGCTTTTTGGGATACCATAGGTCTTTGCAGCATGCGAAATGCTTAAGTTATTACCTGCAGCGCATGTCGATTAGATCGCTTTAATTGCGAGAATAACTTTGTCTTCTTGGGTGTAGATTGGCATTATGGTTATTAAGATTTTACGCGTTAAAGGTTTAAGTGATTTGGACGTAAGAGTGTTTAGAAAAAAACGTCCGGCTGACTGGTCCGGCCGGCTGACTGATGAACCACGTTATATATATATTTTCTTTAAATATATTATTATTAGCTATAAAATATCTAAAGAAATTATATTAAATAGAGATAAAATCTTAACCTTTAAATTCTAGAAATTAATTATATTATAACTTAATGTTAAGTAATTAATATTTACTGCATTTCGCTTATAACCTGATAAATAAATAGAATAGATTAACTAAATCCTTAAAATATATCTCTATACCTATATTGACTATAATTAGAATAATTAGGTTATACTACGACTAATCGCTTAGTTCGCTTATTATAATATAATTAGAAAGAGTGTTAAGAAATCCCCTTTTTATTTTAACTATAAATTTAAGCTAACTATTTATAAAAAACTATAAATAGGTTTAGCTATAATAAAAACTATTACTTCAGTGTAATAAATAAAGAATATCTAAAATAATATGTATAAATAATTTAAGTTTATATAATAAAAAATAACTAAGTTTAGTAATAAATTAAGAATTAAAAACATAACTTTAAAAGAGAGAGATAGCGTCTATTTTATATAGTAATATATTAAAATAAAACTGTTAACATATAACATTCTTTTATAATAATAATAATAATAACATAAGAATAATAATAACGCTTAACTTACTTTAATATTCTATATAAAATAAACCAATAAAGTTTAAGGTACAAAACCTTATATAAAAATACTCTATTTATTATAACCTATAACGTTAATATTGATTATGTAATACGTATAGTTACGTAAGCACCTTATGTAATAGCAGGTTACGTTTCAGGTTATCTTTCCCCTCACTTTTCCCTACTAGAGGATGCAACCTGCCAACAACAACAACCAGACTCATCACAATACATCTGTTCCCTTATTCTTTTCTATACAATTAAATGCTCATAAATGCTCAGAATTATTACCTTTTATCATAACATTACCACATCTATAACCTTATACTATATAGGCGCATATACCACGCCCCTGAATACGCTTATACCTGTGTTAACAAACGACTGAATAATAAACGTAACTATAAAAAACTTAAACTTTTTAGAATTTTATAAACAATTTTACTACTTAACTATAAATTTAAACTCTTAAAAACTATAAAATACTATTTAGGTTTCTATATTTTACTCTTTAAATTAGCCTTATAAAAATCATAAATAAATAATTTTATTATTATAGAAATAATAAACTAAAATATAAAACAGAAAAACTATTTAATTACTAACATAGAAATAATAAATAGAAATACCTAATTAAACAGAAAAATTGTAGATATAAAGATAATACATAGAAACCTAATAGTAACTTATTTAATTAGTATAATAAAATTAAAACCTATATTAATATATTTAATAATATAAATCTTAAAAATAGACTAAATATATTTATAACTTAAAAAGAATAAAAATAATATCTATTAACTATGCCTCTAATATTATGGAAACCTAGCTAGAAAGCTTTTAACTACCTCATTTTTATTAATTACTATTAATACCTTTTTATAATCCTTTTTAAAACCTATATATTCTATTTTATAAATATAATTTAACTTTTTAAATGTTTTATCTATTTTAACTTATACTCTTTATAGTATTTCTATTCTTTTTTTAAATAATATTTTAGTTTCTTCTTCTTCATTATCTAACTGATACAATTCTACTCTGAATTACTCTATTATAATAAAATTAATAAATAAGAAAAACTAACATATAGAGAAAATATATACTAATAAATTATATTGTCAAAAGTATTATAAGAATAATAAACATTATTAATAATAATATATTTCTTATAAACTAGCAAACTTAATAGTATTTTATAATATAAACCCTTTAAGTAATAATAATAATAAAATATAACTTTAACCCCATTCTTAATAATATTAAGAGAATAATAATAATAGTAAAGCGTAGAACTTATAAAATTATTAGTAATATAACTTAATGTAATATTAATATTATAAATAAAATAGGATATATAATGAATAGATTCTTAATCTAAAACTAATAACTTATTTATATTAAGTTTTAAAAATAAAACTTTTAGAGAGAAAACTTAATATTATAACCTATAAATGAAAATAATAGCTGAATAACCTATTTAAATATTAAATGGTTAAAATAACATATTTATACTATAAAATTATAAGAATAATACAAATTCGCTTAAAAATAAAAAAAACTATAATACAAGTTATATAATAATAAAATAAGACTAAATAAACAGTATATATTATTAAACACTTAATAGAAGTTACTAAACGCTTACTAATAATTACTAAACGCTTCCTATTACTTAGTTAGAAATTAATAATAAAACTAAAAAACTGTTTAAAACTTACATATAATATAACCTTAAACCTAGTTCATAGTTAGACTCCTATAGCTTTTTAGTAATTAATTTTATATTTATCCTTAGAATATTTTTAGCTTCTTTTTACTATAAATATTTATTAAGTTTAAGACTGATTACTTTAGCCTCTAACTACTAATCTATAACACAGCTTATAACTTATAACCTAGACTACAACCCTAATATACTGTTACTACATATTAATCCATAGCTTCTATTAGTAAACCCTACTATTAGATAGCTGACCGCAATAAATAAGAGGTACAGAGTGTCACGGGCTAGAGCCCGGCCGAGATCTCCGGCTTTGCCGGAGCAGCTACCGAGACCCAGCTCCGCCGGGTCCACTATTCTGCCGTAGCACACCGCCTAGCCCCGGTGTGCTTCACCGCCGCTAGGCGCCTATCCCTGTAAAGTCCCTTCTTCCTTCTTCAGCTTAGAATAGTCAATCGACGGCACCTCTACGTTGAACAAGCCTAGGGGCCAGCCCCTTACACAGAGAGAGGAAAAGAAAAATCGACGATAATAGTAAAAGTTAATCAACATAAGAAAACCTATTAAGCCTAATATAGGTAGTTATCCGCCCGGTTAGGAAGACTCATTCTAATTATCAAGCACTCTGCTGTCTATATGATGGAACCATGGAAGCGTTCCAGAAGAGCTCTTGGATTCGAGCGAATCACTCCACAGGCAACCTGTACATTCAGATTTCAAAGTCTCAGCAAATGTTTTGGACTGTTAGCTCGGGTGGAGATAAATTTCAATTTGAGAACATTCCGAAATCAGTCCCAAAAGCGGACATTCAATTGGAAAGATACAAATACATAGTTCCTATTCGATGGCACACCAATTGTGATGACTACCTAGCCAAACCTATCGCCTCAGTTCATTGCCCCGCCGCTAACCCCAGAACCACCATCGGTGTCCTTGTCCTGATTAAGCCTGAACGCACTCGACACTTTGCGGACGCTTCCCAGGAACTTCTTGGCTTTTCCAACAGGAGCATCGAGCAGATTGTCCGACTTTTGCTTCGACGGTCCCGCATAGTCCGTTTCGCTGTCTGAATCAGGCTCATGAACAGTCCCTGCACGCCCGGTCTTCGGATTCGTGTAATCACAATTCTCTAGCGAATGAAACCTTCGGATAACCCAGCTATCGAAGTGCCCATGCCGCCAGCCTGGAGGAAACCAGCCCGCAAAGTTGGTGAGCTTCTGGATGGAGAACTGCCCAAAAGGGTGCGGAGGTTTTGTGTAACCCTTGAAAAGCTCGTAGGGTACCTTCCGTTTCGTATCAATCATTGAACGACATAGTCAACCAAGCCGACTCGCGGTTTGTCATTTTCGTATGTCGAGATGAGGATGTTCTCCGGCTCCGGCCACCAGTGCTCGACCCCGGCGTGAAGTTGATGAACGGTGTGCTTCATGAAATTCTTCAAGGTTTTAAGGCGAATCTCCCGGGTCAAGTCAAGCTGTTTGGTCTCCTCGAAGTCAAGATTTGTGGGACCCGTTGGTGGCACCAAGTGATAGTGCTTGTTGCGATAACACAAGTCTTCGATGCTCTTGCCGTGAATGTATTCGATCATGACCGCTCCAACTCGGCGAGTCTGAGCCTTGAACTTTGGATAAGCGGTTCCGAGTGAAAATGTCCAAGACCCATGATACTGAGGTGCTAGGTGCGGGGGCCCTGTCCTTCCTGCCTCCCAGAGGTGTTGATATGCGGCGTTCTCGCGACTGAGGTCGCCATCTGCAATGATGGTGACTTTCCAGGGGCCCTTGTCTGTGTCCGAAACGTCGCCGTAGAACAATGGGTCGAAGACTTTGACGGCGACATGGTCTCCAACATTCAAGGGCTCTCCGTACAATGATGGTTCGTCAATGTTCTTGGGGTTCGCTGTCCATCTTTCCGACTCGGGCGCTTTCGTCACCTTGCAGCGAAGAATCTGACAACCCGCTTCTGAACCGCCGCTGACGAGTCTGTCGACTTCCACCTCTACTTGGAAGCCATCCAACGGATCATCAGACTTGGAAGTGTCCTTCTTCTTGCCCTTTCTCTTCTCTTTTCCCTTCTTTTTGTCGCTGGGGGTTAAAACCGTCGGCGAGAGGGTGCTCTGGGCTTTCTTCGTTTTCACCAGGGGTAGTTGTAGTCGGTGAGTGTCGTGGAAAACTAATTCCGTCCGACTCATTGGTTCCTCTTCTTTCGATAGCATCTTGACTTTGCTGGACAATTTGTCAGGGTTCGCGTAATGAGAGATGCTATAGGGCTCGGGTGGCTCGTGAGGGCTGAGGCGCAGGATCGTTCCGGGTCGATACTGCAAGAAATCTTCCTTGGCGGTAGCGGCATCGTCATTGCGTGTGTGGATGAAATTCCGGGCGCTCTCAGACTCGTCATTGGGGGGCGTTTGAGGAAGCTTCACGAAAGGATTGCCAGTCTCGGTGTTTTGGCCTTCTCCGGCAGGGTCCATGGAGGGCTCAGCTGGAGCTGGGGCCCAAGAAGAGATGTTTCCGTTCAAACGACGAACATAGTCTTCCGCCAGTCCAATCGGTATGTTGGGCGGGAGGGTCGTGCCAGACGGAAACACAATGGGAATGTCGGTTGGGAACTTGCTGCCAGGCGGAATTTTGACACCAGGAGCTACAAGAACATTGGGCGGGATGTAGACCTCAGACGGAACAGCGCTGCCAGAGGGTGTGGTGACGTTGGTCGGAATATTGGTGTCGTCTGGAACGCCTTCGGAGGCTTTCTGTCGACGTTTCTCGGCGTAATATGCAAAGGTCTCCTCAAATCCTCTTGGTCCAGTCGCGGGCTGATTTTGGTGCAGCCATGCGGCCGATATCCGAGCGTCCTCCCGTATGTTCTGCTCTTCCTGTGCGTCGCGGATTCCAACTCCGGCCATATCTTCCGCCAAGCGTGCCATGTCCCTGGATGTGCGTGCTGGCTCGTCGGTCGTAGGCGGTGCTTCTTGGCCAGTCAATCCTTTGTCGTCATCCATGCGACCATGGTCATCTTCTGGGTCACGAGCTTCCATCATGAGTCACGATGTAGCGACTTGTCGTCAACGTGATGCCGATCGGTGACAGCCGAAAAGAAGTAGAGAAATAGGAAAGAACTCTGCAAGTTTCAAAAGTGTCAGCGTCAAATCCGATCTCGAGGAGTGATTTCAAGTAAATTACTTGCGACGCGATTGGCTCCTCAGCTTTGGGGACGTTGCGAATTCAGAGTCGGTTTCGTAGCTGGTGCGGACGCGGAAAAGAAGTCGCGAGCTCGAAGCAAACTATCTGATTGCCAGAATTAAGGTAATGAAGATTCTGCCTCGGTCAGTCAGAAAGGCAACAGCACCTCTGCAGAAAATGCAGAAGACGAAGGTGGGAAAGCCAGGGGTCTTCAATGGACGTACACTGCGATCGAGCCGCGCGTAGCTGAGAAGGGCACAAGCGCGAGGCCGCCAGAAGCTGCAAGGAAAGAGGTGAAGCTTTCTATTCAGACACAAGGCGTGTGTCAAAGCTTTCCGCGGATGAAAAAAAAAAATCTTTGTCTGATTGGGCATGGGCAGTCTGGCGAGACGGTTTTGTTGACGCTCTTCGAAAGAGGAGACTGCAGTCATGCAGGCAGCCGTTAGATTTCTCAGGGTGAAAAATGATTTTTCCAGCGGCGCATTCACCTTCTTGCAGGTCATTCCCCAAAGACCACACAACCCCCGAAAAAAAGGACAATGAGAAGAAGAATTCTTTTTGAATCCCTGTGTCAAAGCTCTTTTAAGGTAAAATTGCAAGCTTACACACGCGAAGGTACACGTATCCTGATGGTGTACCCAACCCTTTGGGATGTATTCGCCCATTTACTACCATCATCTGGGCTCATGAGCAGCATGTACCATCACTTTGACGAGCAGTCAAAGCTTTAACTCGGCATCTGCCTGGCGACTGCGGCTATCCAGTCATTTCTGGGGAACGTGGCGGCCGGCCATTTCACCAGACCTTTCTCCAGTAGGCAGGCAAATCATGCCTAGCGGTTCATGAAAAGCTGGATGTCCAGAAGCCAGCCACGCTAAAACTTTGGAGTCGTCGCCCCTGTTGCGCTTCCCATGGCAACCCGTAGCAACTGGGCGGGAATCTAGTGTCGAATAAGGGCACATGATCTAGATGCCCTTTACTTCTACTTGTTTCATGCTCGCTATCGTACGTAGCACGTTATTGGACGTCTTGGTCAAGGCGTCGGCAAAGGTGGTAGCTTTGAGCTTGGACCGGCTTCGGGTCGGCGTAGGACCAATGATGCGGTGGAGCACCACAAACATCATCTACAAGTCCCTCTGTTGCATCCGTCATGGCACAGCAGGGTTGTCACGCCGCAGTGAGTCGGAGCCAACTCCGTGTGTCAACACGTCTGATCCGTTCAAACACTTGACGGCTAGATTTGCAGTATCACTGAAGCATCAATCCAGTTTACTGGGGTTGTGCCCCTTTATCGTTCATGCCGCCTTGATTGATTCCCGACAGTCCCTGAATGTCGTTGGTGCACGCACGGACATTTCTGTCCATTTACTTTGGTCTGCCATCAAGTCGCTCAATTGATGTGTTCATCAAACACATGTCCATTGCTCTCCAACACAGCCACAAGTTACTCGCCCATTCTCTAGACAACAGAATGCCCCTCTTCAATGGACTGAACCCTGATGAATGTGCCCGTTTTGATAGTTGGTTGTCATCGTTTCCTCTAGATGTTCTAATCGAAATAGTTCAGCATTACACAGGAGAAATAGTTTCGTTTGATCCGCGAGGTTGTCTAGGCTGCGCAGAGAAAGGCTTGAAGACCAGCGTAAATTGTCTCCATATTGCATGCAAATCTTCCAAATACTCACTTGTTCTCCCATTCAGAAGGCAATCTGTCCAAAATGGTTTGCTGGGAAAAGTTTTGCTTGGAAATAGGACGCAGCCTTCGAGGTTACTAACTGGATCGTCTCCACAGCGCCCAATCTGACCAATAATGTGACGCCCCGCCAACGACACCTCTTGGACCTCGACACCTACACGTTATTGTAGCCACACCATTCACACAATCTTGAATAACTTTTTCTCGTCAGATCTAAGTTTCTCCATTTTTACTGACCCGGACCGTAGGTCTCCCGAACATCATCCGGTCTCTCCACGATAAGGTCCCAAGAACTGCGCCCAAATGGACCTGGGCAACTCGTCGCAGGGCCGAAGCTCACAGTCACCTCCCCAAGACAATCAATTGAAAACGGACGAGTCGAAAGATTTCATCAAGTCACGCCTATTAACAAACGTACTCGAACCCGAACCCCACGACACATCACGTCCTGTGACGGGCCTCCCCATGGACCACGACTACTACCCAGAGCTCGCGTGGGGCGGAAGAAGAGGAGGAGGAGGGCTCATGGAGGCACACGATCTCCTCAGGAAGGCGGGATGTCATCCAGCAGCGCTCGAAAACATGGAGCCAAATCCGGACGACGACGACGACTTCTTGGATTCTGGCACTGAAGACGACATTGACGCCGAGTTCGAGTATTACGACCCGGGAAACACTCTCTATCTGGAACCCTATGATCCATGCGAACCCTATGGTGTCGAGGCCTATCCGTGGCCTAACAACAACGACATTGAGCCCGCCATCGTTACCAAAAACATGTGTTACGCCCAGGAAGAAGGCTCGTTGACTCGAGAGGTCTACGATTGGAAACCGACCAGGAAGATCGCAACGACCCCACGCGGTGAGCCCACGAAGCTCGTCGTCAAAATCCAAGATATGCTCGCGGGTGGCGAGACACCTGGTCCCCAGGTGCTCGTTTGCAAGGTAGAGGAACCCTCAGAGGGCTTTCCAGAGTGCGTTGTTGTGAAGATCTGCGACCCCCTGGGCTACAACGTCGACACCAACAATGACGGAACACCCTGGAGAGAGACTTCAAGGGCCGACATACATGTCTGCTGCGAAGCCGCTACACTTGACTTTCTCGAGAAAAGCCCTCTCCTTGGCGACAAGCGCCTTGCCCCCAAGTATTACGGCGCCTTCATCCTCAATGTGCCTAAGATCAACCCAACCGTTGGAGAAGGCGGGCATCGTGAGGTTCCCGTTCTCGTCATGGAGCACATCCAGGGCATAAGTATGTCAGCAATGTGTGCCGTCGATGATGCCGGGGTCTTACGGCCGCCCACATCCCCAGCCAGATGGTACAGCAATGGCACGCACACGCTGCAGATGGATGAAGAGTCGCGTTTGGAGATGCTGAAGATTTTTCTTGACGGCTACGTCCAACAGCTATTTGCAGGCGTTGAGCAACGCCGCATTGAGCCTGAGCATATACTTATTGAGCCAACAGAAAAGAAGTACCAGCCCCGAGTCGCGCTCATCCATTACCGAGACTCGCTGATCGACTCGAAGCACAAGAAGCCGCTCAAGATGTACGAAGACTATGAGCACCCGCCCCATCCTTTCACCAGGTTCAGCTGTCAGAAGCTGCGCACTTTGACTGGTTGGTTCCCGATGAAATGGAAGGATATTGATATGGATATATGGCTCATCGAATCCTTCAATGATGATAAATGGGGCCCGTATCAGCCGAGTAAAATGATACCCGATGGTGTCATCCTCGAGGAGATGGAGAAGAGGGGGAAGATCGTGAAGATGAAGGCAGTAAGGCTGGGTGAAGAAGAGTCAAAGTGATGAGCATATATTACCAGCTTGTGCGGTTAGCCCGTCTAACGAGTATTGCTCAGCATGCCACACGTCTCGACGTTCGAAGAACTAATGACGAGGCTGGCGTGGTGGCCTGCATCCCCCGATTTCACGTGGTTCAAGAATTGTTGTATAGATACCTAATATAGCCGCGAAGCATAGCCCCTGGTCCAGACGAATAACAGAGGAACGACGGCGAAGACAGCGACGACAGTGGCGATGACAGACTATGACAGAGGGAGACGACAGTGGGCATGGGCACAGAGTCTACGAGAAATTAATGTACAGTAACACAGGTAGTCAAAATAGGTGGTCTCTTTCATTTGATAAGGAGCGAAAATGATGGCGTGGCATGCTCGGCCAAGGGAACTGCCGTACCAGAGAATGGCGCTCGCAGGGCCTTCGCTTGGAGCTAATGGTTGACATCTTGATGTCAGGAGGCAGTGGTTTGCGAAACGGAGGCCATCGCTTCTTCGTATCTGGAGGCCGTTCCATCATTTTTCTTCACTTTTCTTATTGCCTCGCATTTTATTGAAACCATGCTGTTGGTGGTTTAAGCTAGCAGAACAATTGTTAGGCAGTCGTCCTTGAGGAAGAAAAAAGTACCTCCGCAGCGAGAGCTGGACTACGTTTTAATTCCCACATGAATCAAACCGCCTTCGCTTTCACCACCAAGGTCTCTCTCTTCTTTCTTGCCGTCCCGTTCTTTCATAACCAAACGCGCAGATTAGGTTTCCAGCTCACGAGTAAACCTTTACAGACCAGCCTGGTAGCCCAAGAGTTTTCTCCTTCATCCACCTCGCCACCTACAAAATCTATTTCTTCCCATTCTTCCCTCCTGGACGGCATCGCACTTTCTCTCCAACCACCTGACACACTACACATCGCCAACACTTCCACATTCTCTCAACCACCACTGTCCTTTGTGCGAGCATGGATCCTCGTCACAACCCGCCGCCCGAACCCACGTCCAGTCATGCCAAGCGCAGCGGCAATGTGATGAGCGTCGGAGCCGTGATGAGCGGTGAGGCCGAGACGAGTGCTGACGTGGGCAGCGTGAGCAGCGAGACCATCATGAGCACCGCATCTGCGTCTGACGGCGATAAATCTGAGCAGCATGTGCCACCCACGAACCTAGATGAGACGCCGAAGAACCGAACCGAACCAAGTCGCGAGAACCAATCCTCCAAAGTCTCGGATGAAGACGCAGACTATGAGAAGCGCATGGAAGAGTATCGTCAACGCTACCAAGAAGATCTGGGACGACATTTCGGCAAGCGGTCTGATGATGATGAGGAAGATGATGAAGATGACGAGGATGCACCGCTGGACCCGTTCTTCCAAAAGCTTCTCTCGCCATGGGACCCCGAAATCGACATCATCGACCCGCGAATCCACAACCCCGACGACCGCGACGATCCGACCCCGCTGCCGCCACAGATCGAGACCGACGAGCTGTACATGGACGACTACATCCCAACCGACTGGCAACAGGCCTACAAGCCCGGAACCTCCATCGTCCTCGTCTCCCTCAAGCTGGTGAAGTTCCTCTCAGGCGGGCCCTGGTCAGGCCCAGCGGTGTTCCTCTGCGAAGTCACACAAGGCGCCCGCGCCTTCGCCATGCCCCAGCGCGTCGTCGCAAAGTTCCAAGACCCGATGTTCTTCCAGGCCAGCCCCCCGCCCGACCAGCCCTTCTACAACGAGTTCGACCGCGCCAACTTCAACCTGAGCCGCGAGGCCGGAGCATACGAGCAGCTGCGCACGACAAACTGCCACGGCGCCCCGCACCTCGCCCCAGCCTACTTCGGCGCCTTCACCGCCGAGATCCGCACCACGAACCCGGCTCTCATCGGGGACCACCCGTTCCTCCCCCGCAGCGTCGGCGTCATCCTCCTCGAGCACATCGATGGCGTCTCCATATCCTCCCTCTGCGACAGACACGGCCCCGAAGGCGCCCTCACGCCGCGGTACCACGACGCCCCCCGCAACGCCTTCGGCCAGCTGGACATGAGCCCCCCCCAGCCGGCTGGACATGCTCAAGACGTTCATGGACGGCTTCGTCCGCCAGCTCTTCGCGGGGGTCTACCAAGAAGAGGCCATCAGCCCCGACCACATCCTCGTCGCCCCGGCCGCGGACGGCCGGGCCCGCGTCGCGATGATCCATTACCGCGACTCGCTGGTCGACTGCAAGTGTATGAAGCCGCAGAGGACCTACGACGATTTCCCCCACCCGCCGCACCCGTACACCATCTTCAAAGACGCGTACCACCTGAGTGCGCTCGAGGGATGGTTCCCTTGCCAGTGGACGGACAAGGACAGTGATGAGCTTGAGGAGTGGCTGATCAAGACCTTCGACGACGACGCCTTTGGACCGTACCACCCTCTGAAAATCGGAACAAGTGACAACGGTGGAGAAAAGAAAGCTGGAGAAGCAGTCTGAACGGGAGGAAGAAACGCAGAAAGGAAGAAGAGGGCGCGAGCAAAGATGACGCACGGCGGGGGTAATGCCGGATTTTGTGGACGGATATCGTGGCTGTGGGCTGCTGAGAGGCTAGAGTAGCATATATCTAGATACAAATCAACTTGTTCTCGAAATCAAACTCTTTATATTTTCTTCAGGATGTTGGTCGTATCCTTGTTTTTGGTAAATGTTTGTGAAGAATGGCCGATGATGCGGTTCGTAGTGGAACAGAACAGCGGGAACCAGAATTTTACTCGTGCAGTATAGTCACGGACGGGTCGACTTCGTTTTCCAACAAATTTGTGCGTCTTCTCCTACAGACAACGGGTATAATAAGACACTACCTCCCGGCACTTCTGCCCATACCAGCAGCAACACACCAAGGTGAATCGAAAACCAAAAGAACAGAAAACAGCGCATTCAAGCGAGTGTAGTGCGTTTTCCCCCATCCCAGAACACCCAAACGAGAAACACAGAGGAAGAGGGGAGGGCCGCTTCGCCCGGCTCCTTCTCCAAATGCAACCCAGCCCAAACGTGACACCTGTGTCCCAGAAATGCCGTCAACCCTGATTACGCCGTATACCCCCATTTCTCCATGAGTCGCGGCCATGCTTTCGAGACCCGCAACATGTGCAGCAAAAGAGTCAAATACCAAATCGCAAATGTTCATGAGTAGAGTTTGTGGTGAGAGGGCTACCTGCTGCGGTCCTCTTGGGGTGGTTGGCTGGAGCGAGATGACGAGCCGAACGAGTTCGAGAGCATGTTTAGCCACCCCTCCGGTCTATTTTGGCGTCCTCTGGGTGCGGGTGAAAGGATACCCTGCTCGACATCCTCGTCTCTGTCCCGCGAGCCGGAGCCTTCGGCTTCTACTTCGTCATCGGAGTCGTCATGGTAGGCTTCGTAACGGGGACTCGAGGGGGAACCTCTGGCGAGCGAGCGCACGACGTCGCCCTTGCAGATCGGGCACGTGCGGCGGCGTGTCGTCAACCAAGGTGTACTGACAGAGGTTAGCATAGACTAAGACCGGAAAATTAGAGATACTCACATGCACTCCGCGTGAAACTCGTGGCCACAGGGGAGGCTCATCACGCGGCTGACACCATCGACGTACTCCTCCAGACAGACCACACACTCGACCTGGCGACCCATGTACTTCTTCCACTCGCTCGAGTAGCTGCCGTTGGCCTTTTCATGTTCTGGCCTCGCGGGGGATCTAGGCATTTGTAGGGCCGAGTTGACAGACAGCAGACTCTCCGACTCGGGAATGCCTGTCGTCGTTCTAGAACGAGGTCGGGGCCTAGTCGGAGTCTGCTGAAGCAGAGGCGTGGTGGGCGTGGCACTGGTGGGCGAAGGCATCCTAGGCGAGGGGACGGGCGACGCAGCGACGGTGTGGTAGGTTCGCACGGGCAGGCGCTCGACGACAGACTTGGGTGCCCTCCAGCGTCTTCTACGGATACGAGCGCGAAGGATGAGAAGGGCATAGACGACGCTGAGAGTAATAAGAGGGCTGATGACAAGCACCAGCAGGGTGTCGAAGAAGGGGCTTGAGCTGCTTGACGGGGTAATCGTGACCCAGAGGCCATCGTGGCCAACTGGTTCTTCGTCGTCGTCGGGGATGGGGTCCACGACCTTGGGAGGATCCTTGGCCTTCTCCTCCTTGGAGAAATCGGCGCCATCGTCGTCTCCAAAGATCTTGGACATCAGGCCTCCGTGGGAGGAAGAGTCCTTGCCAGACGAAGAGCCCTTGGCTTCAACAGGGGGCATGTCAGGGTTGTACTCGCCGCTGCCCGGGGTGATGCTTCCGCCCTTGGGACCGCTGACATCCTTTCCATTCTTCGCGTTTGACTTCTTGCCGGCCTGCTCCTTGGAAGCGTCCTCCTTGTCCTTGGTCGCTGGAACGTCCACCAGATCCGGGTCGCGCCAGTCTTGAACGCCGATCTGGAAGCTGTCTTCGTTCTTACGGGACTCGGCGACCTTGCCCTTGCCCCGCTTGGCAGCCTTTCCAAGACCATCACGAATGGCTCTATCCTTCTCCTCGTTCCAGTCGTCAACGAGAACCCAGTTGTGGCGGCCGCTGCTCGGGGGTTGAATGCTGCCGTCCCCGGTTGCAGAGCTGCGGCCCCAGCTGAAGAACCACCTGAACCATCCAACGCGGGGCTTGGCCTCCTCGGCTTTGGTGGAGGCCTGCTTCTTCGGGGCCTTGACCTTGGGAGGGGCTGTCGACTTGGGTGTGGGCATGGGGGTCGCCGCAGCGGCCTTTTGCTTGGTCTTCCTGTTCTTCCGGTTCGTGCCATCGGACTTGAGGACCTTCAAGGCAGGGCGGCCGTGCTCGTCGATGGTGTCCTCGATGAAGCTGCCCGGCTGAGTGAGAGAGGACAATAGGTGGGCTGTAGTCCGTGCGGTGAAAACGGAAGGAATGGAGACGTTGGAAGTGTCGCCTCTGGCGAACATCTGGATCAGCGGACCACCTCTTTGGTTGTCGCCGACGATGAGGGCAATAGCACCGCGGCGCTGCGCCCACTTGACCTTCTCCAGGAAGCCGCAGCCGCCACGGCTGAGCAGCACAATCTTCCCGGCGATCTCCGCCGCCTCTTGTATCGACTGGATATCGGCGTGGGTCGACTCGGTGGACAGAGCGCTGTGGTTCGGCGGGGGCTTTCTGGCGAAGCCCTGGTGGAGGTAGTCATCGGTGCCGTCGTCGAGGGGTCGGATCTTGGACTTCAACCGCGCTCCGGGTGGAGGCACGGTATCATCGGGAACGACATCCTTGGCGGTGGTGTCCCGCTTGTGGTGGCTCGGCTTGCCAGCAGCAGTGGCAGCCTTCGCGTCGGCCTTCGAGATGCCCTTGGCGGCAGACTTGAGGATAGCATTGGACTTGCCGTCCTCCCAGCCGGGAATATCGCTGCAGCCGAGCTCACCTTCACCCTCGCCTTCCTGGAGGTTATCGTCGGCGAAGCCGCTGCCAATCCATAGCTGGCCACTCAGGCCCTTGGAGGGAAGGTTCGGACCGAAGGCGGCAGGGCGGGCGACAAAGGAGGTGCTGTTGTCGTCGGTCAAGCTGATGGCGGCATTCGGTGTAAAAATTGAGAAGGGCGCTGTGAAGGAGAAGAATGTCGTAAATCGTGATTGCGGGACAGCGGCCGGGGCGATTACGGTGTTGGATCGCGCCAGCGATGTGACGGAGCGGCAGAAGAGGAAGAGGGAGGCGGCGAAGAAAAGGACCAGGATGGCGATTCTCGGAGTACGCATGATTGGTATCGTAACGGGTCGTTATAGTGTGTAAAATAAGGAAAGGAGAGGTCGAAGCTCCTGATCGTGTGTCGAGGAGATGAGGCAACGGGGAGTTCGGAGCACGGCGCGAGGGCCGTCCGGTAAATCGTGCAGTCGAATGTGGTGACTGTAGGCAGGAACGAGGTTGCGAAGTCGTCGACGGTCGAGCAGCTGCTGGCAGTGGCTCAGCGGCGGACTGCACAGGTGCCGATCATGCGCGGAATCATGTGCGATGGGAAGCCGCCGGTTGTGGTGACGATGACGAGGCTGAAGGCGATGGAAGGAGGGGAGAGACTGTCTCGTTCGAGGATGGATGACAAAGGCGGATGCGGCCCTCTGTGGTCGCCGGGAAGGGTCGGGTCAAGGAAGGAGAGAGGGTAAAGAGTACGAAAAGAAGACTGGGCGTAGAAGTTGGGGGCGGGAAAAAATGGTGATGACGAAGATGTCGATCAGGATATTTTGCAAAGGCAGAAAGAAGTCAGAAGGTATGTTCGCAAGATGCACGCAGCGCGGAGCGGTGCAGCGGCGCCATGCAGAGACAGGAACCGGAGGCAGACGCAGCAGCAGCGAGGTGAAGGAAGCAGGGACAAGAACTCGGGTGACGAGTGGAGACGGGAGGGCGAGTGTGAGGTCGCAGCAGCAGCGGGTGGCGGGGCAGTGTTGTTGTTTAGGTGCCGGGGCCTTCTGTCTTTTTGGGTGCTGTGACTGCCCGAGGGCAGCCGTGGAGGACGGGGTGGAGGTGAAGGAAGTCACTTTTCCTACAGATGGCCCAGCACAGTGACACACACACACACACACACCACCTGGACCACACAATGACGGCCGGGCGGGGGGCACCTCACGCTGGACTTCAGGCATGGGTGGAGTCGCCTCGGGGGTTAGGGGCCCTGTCTGGCTGAGGTCGGCGTCGGTGGGCGCATCGGGAGAGGTGAGGTCTCGGGGGTGGTACCTACACTGTGGCTGGAGGACGCGGGCCCTCCATTGTTCTTTTGGCTGTCACTGGCCCCGTCCCTCGTGCGCTGTTTCCTCCTCTCTGTCTGCGGATGGCACCATCCAATCCGATCCAGCATTCCAGTCCATTCCAATAAAGCCATTCTCGGTTTTGACCGGCATCCTGACTTGCTCGGCGGGTGGGCAATGAGCTCACCAGCTCACCATGCATCAACCCAAGCAGGACTCAAGAACAGAGGCCATGAATAAGGGCCCGCAACCGTCACCGTCACTGACTGACAGATTTTTCTCTCACGACACAGGGGCACCTTTTGACTTTTCTCGTTTCCTGCCATCCTGGTCGCAACCCCGAAAAAGATCTCCCTCCCGACGAATGCAGGCAAGGTACGGCAGACACAGATTCAATGGGAGCAAGCACCGGCCAACAGACGCACCCAATGGCCAGTGTCAGGATAGCAGGGGCAGGCCGTCCCTCGGCCGGCTTTGGCGGCACGCTCAAGTCGCACTTGGCCGGAAGGCAACAGCACCGTCGCCCCCAATGTTGGCTCGGCTGGGCCACCGGTGCCAGTGCCGTCTTGGTATTGTTCAGATTGTATCCAAGTCTTGGGAGGTCTTGCCTTCTGGTCTTCGGTGGGCCGGCGCGTGTATATAAAGGTCGAGTCCACTGTCCAGGAGTGAGGAGTTGGTAAGAGGTCTCCGCGGGATGAGATGCGATGCCCACGCTTCCGCCAAACAACCCCCGATTCCCCACCTCGAAT